ATTTAGTTTTAATTCAAATGATGCGTGCTAAGTGAGTGAACATCAAAGAACACACAACAGAAGTGTGCGCTCTCTCTCTCCCTACTGTTAAGTAACTTGTGCATTGTTTTACTTACTTCTTTTTGACATATCCGACCGAACTACAAACTTTCCAGTGATGTCTGTGAGAAAGGTATATTCACTCGACAAGCTTGCGCATCTGCGCCGCCGCGCGCTCAATCCACTCAGCGTGCTTTGTTTATCAGCTGGCGCAAATCAGCTATACAGGCATTAATACTGAATGTTTTATATTCATTGCATACATGTACTTCGTAGACATCTTTAATCTCTAATAACCCCATTCTGCTGTCTGTTGTCGGTATTTCTTTGTCTGAATATGGCACTTATCACATGCTGTGTGGTATCGGCGTTTGGTATCGGGGCATTTTAACGAGTACGAGTACGAATACAGGAGCTCAGTATCGGGCCCGATACCGATACCAGTATCGGTATCGGTGCATCCCTACTGCATTTATTTTATCCTTTTGAGAGGTGATCTAAATATTTGTGGATTGGAAACAAATGGAAAATTGACAGGCTTGTGCTGCAGTTCTATGGATTTTTCGCCCGCCAGGTCTTTGAGCCAGTCACGTGACTGAAAACTATGAATTAGCATGCTTGTCAAAATTAATTGTGTTAGTCTGAATCAGCAGACATTGGAAGCAGATAATATTAGGGCTTTTATCTGTTCCAGATTACAAAATTATTATTAATCTGTTGTCTGTATTTTATATTTTGATGGCTGGTATATCACTTTCTACACATCACCATATAAAATTCAAATTTTTGGATTTTAATTAAATTATGTATTTATGTTTATGTTAAAGTTAAATTTACTAAATTATAAATTAATGTAAATAAACAATATCACAGATTAATTGAATTATATTTTGATTACCCCATTTCTGCTATCATAAAATACACTTACTTGTAGGTAGTGGTCGACCGATATTGTTTTTTTGACAGCCGATGCCGATATCTTGGAAAGCAGGGTGGCCGATATAAAGCTGATATAATTGTATTTATTTTAATTAATATTTAAGAAATTTGAAATAATTTGAAAATGGATAAACAAATTCATTTGTAAAATAAACATACTTATACTTTAGATGACAAAGTATTTTCCACAAATAAATATTTAATAAAAATATAATTAAAAAGGAAGTAAACTCTAACCAACAGAGCACTCAGTATTCTTGGAAGTTTGTGTGCATTGGGAATCATATTTTTTTCAAATAAAGCCAAGGTAACACTCATTTTACATACAGCACACAGTGAAATATGACAGTGCAAATGCATAAAGCGCAGCATAATTACATTAGACATTCAAAGATTTGTTTAAATTATGTAAATGCGTATTTGCTGAATGCTGACGGCAAACGAGAAAGTATTATAATGTTTGCCTTTCTATTACTAATAATATAAAAGCAATCGTTATAATACTTTTTGTATACATTTTAACCTTTGTTTAACCGTTCTATCTGATTATTAGATAGACTTCTATCCGTATTAGACAGAACTGTTAACGACGACAGCGAACAAGAGAGAGAATGTGAGCACTATGTACTCAGGCGCTGCCGTTTTCAGCACCGTCAAAATAAAAGTCCCGCCTCGAACGCATCGGTAAACAGAAAAACTTATCGGCCGATGCCGATATTTGAAAAAAAATGCCACATATCGGCCGATATATCGGCCTTGGCGATATATCGGTCGACCACTACTTGTAGGTTTACAATTCTATATATGACACAATTATTATGCTCTTATTCTATTGTGCTCCATCTGTTTGGCGTGCATGCGTGCGGCGGTGCTCGTTCACTGAAGTCTGTGAGGTTTAGCAGAGAATCGCATGCAGAAGGCTCCAGACAGCAAAATGGAAATTACTTTTTAACGTTTACAGATGGAGAATATATATAAAATGTAAGTTATGCACTGAGGAAGACCGCACATCTCAAACAGCACAAGTAGCATCTCTGTCAGCAGCAGCACATGAGTCTGTCAGAGAATCTGACGGGGCGAACCGCGTTAAACTGTACGTATTAACTATATCTTACAAGTTATTTTAAAGCCCTTAATATAAAGCATGTCTCATGTTTAGGGAAAAACTGGATTATGCACTTTCTTCACAGCCGCTCACTCTGCGACTTCTTCTATTATTCAGATGCGCTCGTATCAAACTACTGTATATCGATATAAGCGGTATTGCCTCATATCATATCGCTTATAAAAAATATATTGATAAATCGATATACCGCCCAGCCCTATTTTCTACCATGGTCTAATGTGCAGACACTGCAAGTACACCATTTTTAGGTTGACTACCTGAACAGTGTTATTTTAGCATTCATATAATATTTTGAATTAGCTTTTTATATTTTCATGTTGTATTTTAATTTTAGTTTTAGTACTTTAACTTAATTTGATAATTTGAAATGTTGCCATGTTTTTCATTGTATGAAATATTTATTTAAATAATATTTACATGTGTTTTATATTTGCGTTGCAGCTTCATTTCAATTAATGAAAATGATTTTAATGGTTTTAGTTTTAGTCAACAACTGGGCTGAAAAATATATCATGCATTTTGCAAGGACTTGCAACTATGGAAAATTTTAATACTTAAGAAAGTTACAAAGAAAGGTTTAGGTTGACACAAATAATAGAGAGTTGATTAACATTTTAGTGCCAAAAGAATATGAAACATGTATGTTGCTCATAGCATTTTCAGCTTTTAATGTATTTAAATGTATTTTAATTTGCATGGCATGCTGTATCACATTATTTAACAGGTTTTCCTTTAATGTCATCCAGCCCTAGTTAACAATAACAACACTGTTCCTGAAAATTGTAAACATGTTGGCTCTATCAAAACATTGCTCTGATTGAGCAGTCTGGCATATCAACTTCAGTCTTGGCCAATGGCGTGGGTTCAGGGTGGGGCTACCTGAAATTAGCTGTTAGCGGGGAATTGTTGTCCAAACAATGATAGACCAGAAACAATCCTTATTTTTGCAGCTCCGCCAGTAATGCAGCAATTGCACACTTCACATTTTAGTTTGGTCTAGTATATCAATACAGATGTGAGATTTCTTGTTGCATTGATTTCTCTGTGTCTTTCTGCTCTACCTAGGTTGAATATGTGCCCAAATAACTGCTCTGATCGTGGGGAGTGTCGTGTGGGGAATTCCAGTGACTCTGTGCAGTGTGAATGTGAGGTCGGCTGGAAAGGAGAGGCCTGTGATGTGCCCTACTGCTCCTCTGACTGCGGCTCCCCTCTGCGGGGACGGTGTGACAGCGCCGCCAAACGCTGCCAGTGCAAACCAGGATGGCAAGGTAAAGCTTAATCATAAGAACGACAGTAAGCTACTGGACAAATAAGGAAATCGTTGTTCATTAATCCACAAATTTAGAGGTTAATTCCGCTTTAGAGGGGTTAGTACAATTCTTTTTTGTTCATGAACAAGAGTGATACATTTCAGGACTCACAACTGCATTTTGAGAGTGAGTTCAGTGAAAATCACCATCACACCTTGCTTTTTGATTGGACTTTTATAGTGTTAACATAGATTGAACATTTATTAACTTAGATTGTGGTGTTATGCAAGTCAACATCTTTGATATTTACTTTTAGTCACTGTTGCTATGGTTACAGGCGTTATTCACGGCTATCATGAGAATAGAAAAGGGGCATGACATTGGATATTTGTACAGTATATACATTAGCGGCTTGAATACTGTATGTAAGCTGTTGTATGACATTGAGTCATTTAAGGAATCTCTTCATCATCAAATTTGTTTATAGATGTAATTCACTCACAGTTCTGGGAATGTGTAGAGCTTTTTTGGTTTTCCTAATTGTTTCCTGGCTTTCTTCCTCTTCGCCTCTCACTGTACTGACTGCAGATATCTCTCTACAGATCTCTCTGCCTCAATCTCTACGCCTCTAGTGTTGTTTGGGTTTGCTTGAAAGACTTTTGAGTTTGCTTGTTTGTCCCAGGGCTGTATTTTAGAGAATGGCTTGTGTTCTTATACTTAGCTTGATTGTGATGAGCTCTGATAAGCCAAATGTGTAAAAATACAGGTGGTTCAAGGTCCTTGCATTTAGTGTAAAAATTTACATTTTGGCACACATTTAAATGACTCCAGGTTGGTACAAAGATTGTTGGATGTCTAAATCCTGCCTGTACCAAAAATAGAGCAGAGATTGACTGCCGTTACAAAAGTTGAGGTATCGTTTACATCTGTAGCACAGGGGCAAGTTATGTGGCAAATACGTAAGGTTAGCAAAAATGACTTTGCAAGAAGTACCAGTAGGTTTGATATTTTAGTAGAAACTTAAGTGGTTACTATAGTCAATTTTTATGTTCATACATGCCTCGTTTATCATTTATCCTTGTACATCATTTCCATTAGCAACTTTTCAAATGGCTTTTATATATTGATTTTAATGTTTTACTCTTGTCTCAAACCCAGACTTTAAATTTTCACTATAAAAAATGTATCATAAAAAACGACTGTTTAAATCTATGATGATCTAAACAAAGAGCAAAATGGTCATTGGTTTGTTATAGGTTGAAATTTATCTATAGCAATTTTTCAAAAATGTCTTATTCCACATTTGTGGTGTCGTTTTGCCCCATTGATGCCACAGAGACATCAGTGTCAGTGGAGACAATGAAATTAAATGTTAGACATATGATGTGTATGGAAAATAAATCCAATTTAAAAAGGTTAATATTATAGAATATATTATTGTGTATCATTTTCAATCAAGCTGTTATAAATATTATTTGATTTTATGTATTTTGGATTAGGGATGGGTCACGATTTTCGAATATTCGATTAGTTGATTTTAGACTTGTGCCGGTATTCGGTAATGCGATTTAACTAATGAGGTCTTATTGTAAAGTGATACCTATTGGTCTTTATAGTTCTTTTGCACTTTAATATGTGTAAAACTTTTAACTTTATACATTTTTCTGTATTGCTTTATTGCATTTAAATATTCAGTTATTTTTGTTATTAGAAAAAAGTTATTAAACCTGTTATACTGTATTATGACAGCTCTTTTTTTAAACTAAATTTTAATATCGTGATAATACCGTATACCGTGATAAAAGCATCAGCAATTAATCGCAACATGAAAATTTGATACCGGCATATCCCTAGTTGATTTAATTCTAGAACATCGAATAGGTTGTGCGATTATTGTCTTAAAAAATGTCCCCATGTTTTCCGTGCTGATGCGGTGGTGACGCGTTCATGTGGCGCTGCCAATAACGCACCTAAAAGCTGTCAAAGTCAACAGAAGAACACACCGTCTCACGCGCACACTGTAGACTTGCGTAGCATATAATGGTTACAGTAATGTGGGGCGATGTCAAATAAGAGCTCTGTGCGGACCACAAACACCCCCGACTGGGTTATCATGATAGTAAAATAGGGCATTCTAAGTCAATATACTGCAGTATTTCCTCTCTCAATCAGTAGAAAATATGGTTAACACCTGGTCATGCATGAAAAAAGACTGCGTCATGTACCGTGAAACCGGTATAATTTTGAAAAATACCGTGATATAAATTTTTGGTCATACCGCCCAGCACTAGTCCTAGCCTTATGAGCAGTTGATTTATGCTAATCGATGGACTGTTATGTTGATAAGTGCCGTCATTCAGTTATGTTTATTATTTTAATGTTTTAGCATGTTACGATCATTAAATTGCTTGAGTTAATAGACTATCTTCTGAATTAAACAGTTTATCATACAGATTGAAAGCGTGAATCCCATCTCTCTCTCTCTGTTTATGGGGTGTTTGTGCGTGCATGCGGGGAGGGGTGCGATTTTCAAATAATAATCGAATAATACCTAGCGATTTTCGAATATTATTTTTGCTTGGAATGCCCATCCCTATTTTGGATGCATAAATGCTGTTTTATTCGGCTGTTTTATTAAAAAAATGTTCAAAAAGTTTATTTTCTAGTTGGTGGGGTTAAAATGCCCATCGTTGAAGAAACACCCAGTTATTTGCAGACTCTACTTTGAGTTGCTCACTGCCTCAGACTCAGTAATTATTTGCTTCTATGGCAACCCTTATAACATCAAAATAGACCTATGATGACCTTGAAATATTAAGAAAAGTGCACCAGGTAGCATCAGCTACAATAAAATGGAATATGAAACACAAATGTGGTCCTCCTTACTACTTATAACTAGGGCTGGGTATCGAGTTCGATACTTAGCGCTTATTCCGATAGAAAACACTGTATCGGTTTCCACTGATTAAGAAATATTTTTGTTTGCTTGGGTGGTAATATTAGGTCTATTATATTAATAGGGAAGGGGGCCCAAAAATGTTTTTTTCTACGTCACGAAAATAGGTAAATCCGGCCCTGCCATCTAATGTGTGTTTTGGCCATGTAATGTTGCTGAAATTAAATATGTTATTACCTCTGAGTCAGAGCAGCGATCATGGAAGAGAGAACACAAGCAGACAGCGCTGGAAGCTGCTAATGCTCATCAGTAAATCAGTGGAAAATAAATCGAAATCATGATTCTGTCTGAGCTATGCGTTTTAAAACAAACACTAACTAGTGTAAATGTAGCCTAACAGATGTGTAAACTGAAGACTATTTGAGCTTTTTTACAACTGTTTTGCACTGATTTATTGTGTTGGTTACATTTTGTTCCTTTGTGCAGTGGCTCAGGAGATGAGTCTTTGAGTTTGTATAAACATCAACAAGCTGAAAAATAAAACCAAAGTTTTTTTTTTAGATAATGTAATCTTGTTAAAATTGATTTCATAAAATTGGTATCGAAAAAAGTATCGTTCAGGAACCGGTATCGAAGTCAAGGTATCGGTATCGATATCAAAAAATTTTGAACGATACCCAGCCCTACTTATAACTGTTGAGGCTGTGGCCATTTTGACTCTTTATATATTACGTCACAAGACTGAGGTTTCATAATTGTGAGTTTCCAACTAGCAATCAGAAGGTTGACAAAGACGTGAACTGTTTTTAATTGTAATTATGGTAATTATGACAAGCAGCCACTAAACCTCAGGTTTAGGTCAGTTCTCTCGGTCTGTCTGTCCATCTCGCTCTCCTCTCCTCTCTCTCCTGTGGAAGTGTTTAATCACCAGTCTGTGAACAGCAGGTTGAGCCACATTCAGAACTGACTCATGTTTCAAGTTCCTCCCTGGTTTCCTGTAATGTTTTATATTTTTAAGCACAGCCCTTTTGTGCAACTTCAATTTTATTGTTTTATAAAGATTGGACTAGGTTGGACTATATATCAAGAGGCAGAACAAACAGTCTAGAACAGTGACAGTTGTGGTTGAATGTGATAGTTTCTCATATGCAACAGAAATGGCAGCCCTTATGAGTTGGGCAATGTCGTGGTCGCACCAGTGTGTCGCAGCGGCAGAAAAAAACAAATTTAGTCGCAGTGGCAGAAAAAATTGTCGCAGTCTGGAGCCCTGTCGTAATCAGACTACTTTTTTTATTGATTACATGATTACACTGCATTACATTATTCATGCAATAAATAATTCATAATTTATTGATTCTCCTTAATTCCTCTTTTTCATCTCTTAAATGTTCTTTTAAATGCTTATATACACTCAGAAAGTCTTCCAGTTCTGTGGACATTCACACAAAGTCCAGTCGCTAGTCAGGTGGCTACACGGCATTTGATATATACAGTATCTCACAGAAGTGAGTACACCCCTCACATTTTTGTAAATATTCATACATACACACACACACACATGGTGTGATTTGTAGGACGGGATGGGGGGATTTCCCTCTTCTGGTCTATGAATCCCTGCCTCTGCTGAATTATTTTTATCCTCGGATTAAAAAAAATTATAAAAAAAATTCCCCTGGGTGATGCTACAACACCAACCACCAAAAGATCATTTAAAATGCAAGTAAAAAAACTGCACCATGACAATACAAACAACAATAAAATCAGAAATGGACTTTAACTGTCAGCGCTCCCGCTTAATAGAGACCGTGTGTTCACGCGCCTCAATCCATGCAGGGCTTTTCAGAAAGTCAGCGCACCATTAGTCTATTTCAGACTGAGTGACAGTTTGAGATTAATACACAATGTTTTTGCTCAAAACTCAATCTACTGTGACCTAATGCAGATAATGTATATAATAAACGGACACATAAATGTATTCTGAGACAGAACGCAGAAGTTTACCGTCACCATAATGTGGGAATTATGATCACGCAATATTGACTGATGGAGTGGCAGAGAATCGTCTTTCTGCGGTAGTCGGTTTAAAGAAATGTGAGGTAATCTTGTGAATACTTAATGTGCGCACTTTTGAAGTAAAAGTTTGTATGTTGTGTAGCGAAGCACTGATCAAAATTAAATGGAAGCAAACGAATATGTACAGGTTTGTGTCTCGTTATTCTATTCAAAATAGAATATCATTAACTGCAGACTGATTTTGCAGTCCTGGCAGAAATAAGAACTATTAGTGTCATTATAACCAAGTGTTATCATAAATAGTGGTCAAATATCGAAGCCATCTAATCTCAAGGTTAAATCAGAATATTTATTGTAAAAATGTTTGTTACTGCTGCCCAAAAAAAATTTATATATTTATAGCTCCACTGTGATTTGTGATATATTTTCAAGGAAAAAAAAAAGAAAAATAAACACTTCAAAACACCCTATAAATACAGTATATATATATATATATATATTCATATTCATATTCTAGTTGGCAGGGTTAAAATGCCCATCGTTGAAGAAACACCCAGTTATTGGTGCTCACTGCCTCAGACTCAGTAATTATTTGCTTCTATGGCAACACTTACAACATCAAAATAGACCTATGATGACCTTGAAATATTAAGAAAAGTGCACCAGGTAGCATCAACTACAGTAAAAATGGCATATGAAACACAAATGTGTTCCTCCTTACTACTTATAACTGTTGAGGCTGTGGCCATTTTGACTCTTTATATATTACGTCACAAGACTGAGGTTTCATAATTGTAAGTTTCCAACTAGCTAGTAGCTATATATATGTATATATATGTGTGTGTGTGTGTGTGTGTGTGTATGTATGCATGTATGTAATAGTTGCTTAAAAAAAAACACCTCAAACTTTCAAATTGTACAGTATATTATTTTCTCACCCTGCCCTAATGACAGCATGTGTGCGTGTGTGTATTTTAGGCCTGGACTGCTCAATAACTGTACCAGCAAATGTTTCCTTCTGGACACGTGAGGAATACAGCGGGCATGGCTTGGTGCGGGCGTCCCATAAGGCTGTGGTTCATGAAGACGTGATGTGGGTGATAGGTGGACATATGTTTAACTACACACACTACCAGATGGTGACTGCGTGAGTACACACACACATACTTAACCAAAATGCACTTGAGCATAATAACCTTACAGGCTCACAGCTTTACTTTCTCCTTTACTCTTTTTGTCTATTCCTCAGGTTCAACATCTCCTCTCAAAGCTGGATGTCGTTAAACCGGTCCGTCAACTCTGTAACTGGACGCTACGGTCATTCTCTCTCCCTGCATGAGGTTTGTCAACGATGACAGGTTGTTTAATAGTGTTCATCAACTCAAATGTCTTTATTACAGTCCGATGTATTTATTCCCTACATACACTGAACTGAGACCTGCTTCTCTAAAACTTGTGATTTCATAAGTTATTTGTCTTTGTGTGCATGCGTACAGGATCAAATCTATATGTACGGTGGGAAGATTGACTCCACAGGAAACGTGACATCAGAACTCTGGGTGTTCCACACATGGAACCAGTCATGGGTTCTGCTGAATCCGCGTGCTAAAGAACAGTATGCCGTCGTGGGCCATTCTGCACACACTGTCCAGCTCCATCCCGACAGATCAGAGCCCGTCATACTGGTCGTCTTCGGACACTGCCCTCTTTACGGATACATCAGCCAAGTGCAGCAGTACAACATTGGTCAGTAGCGCACAGTAGTGTCAAATGCTCAACAGCTGGCCGATACCTTGAGTATTATCGCCATAATTTTACTGACGTTATAAGATTAGGGAATAGTGTGAATATTGCAATAACATTAAAAGTTTAACTTAGTTAAACCAATTTCACCCTTTTACATCTCACAAATATGACAGCGTCAAAGGGATTGTTTGGCTGCTTTCAAAAATTGACAGCTGTATTTAAATGTGGGATTGATTCTGAAAATGTGATGATTGACAGTGATAACAAACCATAGCTACAGATGGGACAAAAAAATATCATACTGTATATCAAAATAAATCTTTTATTTAATTACTTGTCTCCGGTCATATACGTGGCTGCTACACCACGTTTTCCTTTTCAGCATCTTGCGTCATGCACAATATGTTTTTTTAAAAAAAACGTCATTTTTAAAAACAAAAAAGCATCTTTTAAAAGCAGGCCTCAGGACACCTGTGTACTGTTCCATTCAGCCTAGCTGTTTGAAAGGAAGAATTCATCCTATGTGAAAGCACCCTAATCCGTTTCAGAATATTGAGTGCTATCACGGACTGAAAGTCACAGTGAACAGTTGTGACCCAGTTTCTGTCTGATGAATCAGACCGCTAGGTACCGCAGAGACTCGTCATTCATCACAAAATTAAAATGAGGCCCTTTTGATATTAGTTTTCAATTGTGTAAAATGTTTTGCAGTTGGAAAAAAAAATGTGCAGTTGTTTTCATGATTGATTGTTGCTGTCATTTGTGATAGAGAGAGAGGAGACGGGGGCTGGTTTTCACTTTGATTTCTGGATGCCAGTGTGGTTTGAAATCAGCATACAAAACCCCTGCTAGGGAAAGCAAGCATTTATTCAATTAGACTCTTGTCTCAAAACCTTAATGTAGTTCTTCCTCATGTGGCAATTATCCCTGTTCTGGTCTGTTTGCAGGAATTGTTTACTCTACTGCCCTCTGGTGTTGTAATGGAAGAGCAAAATCAAAAATATGTGTAACTATTTTTTTTTTTTAGGAGAACTAGTTGTGTTTCTTTCTTCACTATCTCTCATCCTGTACTTTTCACTCTTCCCTTTGCAGTAAAGAACACATGGAGTGTTTTAGAGACTCGTGGGGCACTGGTTCAGGGTGGCTATGGGCACAGCAGTGTGTATGATCCTCAAACCCGCTCCATCTACATCCATGGAGGCTATAAAGCTTTCAGTGCCAATAAATACGGCCTGGCCGGGGACCTGTACCGCTATGATGTGGACAAGAGAATGTGGTGCGTTGAGCAGCATTACAATTTAATTTAATACTGATTACTTTTTGACTTCATAATTTTAAGGCTAGGCTTAAAATGGAGAGCCTGCTTAGTTAGCTTTTTTAATCCAATATTTTGTTTAAAAAAAAAAAAAAAAAAACTACAACAGTAGTACTTGTTATGCTAGCATGCTGCTATGAACATAGTCATAGTTTTTTTTTTTTGCTTTCTCTGGGTTTCCTGCTAATGATGTCTCTGATTAATCTGTAGGTTGATTCTGAGGGACAGTGGTTTTTTCCGTTACCTCCACACGGCGGTGATTGTTGACGGGAACATGTTGGTGTTTGGAGGGAACACGCACAACGACACCTCAATGAGCCATGGGGCGAAGTGCTTCTCCTCAGACTTCATAACATACAGCATAGGTGAGTACCAGACACCGTCTTTGTCACCTGAATGTTCAAATTACAAGTGTTCCGTACATCTGTGTATGACTGGGCAGCCTAACTATATATACAATAATGTGATTTATCCATTCAAAATTAGGAGGTTGTACTCTCGAGTCTTATTTTTTGAAGTCGAACCTAAAGACCTATTCACAGCAACACATTTGTTTGTCCGATTTTCGCATGCGATTTGTCTGTTCAGATTGTGTAAAAAAAAAAAACAGCAGGTGAGTTCAATAAAAAAATGCAGATTCAATTTCTTACAATAGATGGTGCTTATAGAAAAGCAGAAACAGCCATTCAGATTTTGTATTTCCAGCACCAATTATAAGAGTACAGAGACCAGAGAGCCAATTCTGGATTTTACCTCTGCCTAGGTAAAATCCAGATCAGCTGCTGGTACATAAAACTTGCTGCCGCTCATGAATAATCTATAATGCTAAACGATAGTGAAGAGCAATTAATTATATGGCCCAACGTCTTAGCATGAACAGGCCTTTTAAACATATTCATTTGTAATACTTTTTTATTGCTTCCAACAAGTTTTTAAAATCGTACGTAAAGAATGTAATTCACTTTCCAGCAAAATAACTGTATTGAATGATTATGTAGTGAGATTTTTCTTAAACTGTCATTCGCCTACCTTTAAGAACTTTTTACATTCTAAATCGCTCGCTTACTGCATCCTCTCTCGTATGGTATCATATGTATATAATATCTCTGTCTTTCACAATGTTGAACAGCAGAAGAGACACTCACACAGAAACCATAATTGGATTTCTGTGCGTGTAGCAGCAAGCCATTAGAGACCGAAATACACTCATCAGGGGGGCTTCTTGCAGATGGATGCGTGATCTTGAAGCCATTATTTTATGAGTGACACATTTGAATTTTGTAATCTCCAGGGATCGGAGACATGCCTGTCTGGTGCTATTATCTCGCTTTTCATTTAGATAATGAGGGATGCTATGAGTATGATGTCAGAATAGATGCACTACGAGCACTTGAATACGGCGGCTCTTGAATGTGAGAATATGATGCGTGGGTTGAAATTCCGAGCGTCTTTGAGGAGTTTGTATTGCCTGTATAATACACAGGAAGCTTCAAACATATCAGAAGTGTTTGCGTTTGCTTATTCATCATTATATTTCACTCCACTTAAAAAATTTCTTCCTCTTGTTCTTCCCTTGCCAACTTCTCTTTTGAGTTTCAGGCTAGCGCTGTGGTAATCTGTAATTAAGTAGAGGCCTTTCTCGACCCTGAGGGTAATTGCTCTGTCCTTATGAGCTGAACTCAGTTATACTGGCCCACACCAGGATGCTGAATACGATTTGTCAGAAAGTTTGCCAGCAGGGGGCAGTGACTTGTCACACATACTGTACTGCACTAATAGCTATCATTTCTCTTCATGCTTCTCTTACTCCTGTTAGATTAGCCACTAACTCCTTCTATTTAACATCTAAAGAAAGAGATGATTCAATATTAAGGGTCAGCTCAGAAAATGCAAACAGCTCATCTTACAAACCATGGCGAGAAAGATGCAGGGAACTGGGAACATTCCGTTTTATCCCATATTGCATAGTATTACAATGTTATTTCGTTTTAGAGTACAAGTAAAGGTGCCTTATAGGCCCTGCACTTCTGCACAGGTCATCAATTTATGTGAAGGTTGGACTTACGGATGTTAATTAGGTAATGTGAGTGGCGATTACTGAGCAACCATTAGTCTTCGTTCATTAAAAAAAAAAAAAGAGTAAGTGATTTTTCAAAAACACTTTAGAAAACTGATTCGGGCCGAATCGCAAAACAAACTTGTAGCCAATCAGCAATAAGGGGCGTGTCTACTCGTGATGTGGAGGAGAGCGCGTTCAGTGCATGGGACGGACATTAGCCGAGCCGAGCGACAGAAAGATAGAGATGGCAGATAAAAAACAAAAGAGGAAACCGTCTGCGGAA